TTAACAACTCCTTACAGTTCCCTTCCTGCCTGGTGCCTGTCTGTTCCTGGACTGAACTTGCTTCTAACCCCCAAGCAAGCTTCTACTTTTGACTTGCCAGAGTGTATTCTCCCCATCCACCCATACCAGCAGCTCTACCCAGCCACTCATATCCTTCTCCTTCCTCACAATTGCTGCTGCTATCTTTTCCCATGTTTGCTGCCTGCCTTCTCAGGTGCTTTTCTTTCCTCAGTGCTCCCTCTGTGTGTTCCCCAGGTTCACATGTACACCCCACCACCTTCATGCAAAATCCTTCCTGTTGTCTCCGCCTTCAGTCTCTGCCTGATGTGGACCCTCCACCTACGTGTCCTGGTTTCTTCTGCCTTTCTCTCTTTCACTCCACACTGCTTTTGCTTTTATTTAAGCACTTTTAATGACACCTTTTTTTCAACCCTTCTCCCAGATCTCTGAATTCTCCACAGAGCAGCTTTTTCTTCTCTGATCATCTTTGCTTTTCAGTGAGGAACAGCCAGAACCACCACCTGTTGCTTTCCAAGAGACTCTGTGCCCCATCACTCCAAGAGCTATCGTTTCACACGTGAATGTGTGTGTTTGTGCACACTTGTGTGTTCTGGAGAAAAAAAGCATCAAAAGCAAGCGGGGGGAGAGGGGGTGGTGGCGGATGGGGACCTTGTATTAATTTGCTAAGAACGCATTAAGCAAATGGGTGGGTGAGAGATGTAACTTCTGTAGCATCAACTGCTCTCTCAGGTCGATTGGGTAGAAGCCTGCACAGATCAGATGCAAGACACCAGCCCTGTCATTTTTCCCCTGAGCTGCAGCACCAAGCAGCTCCCTGTGGGAGCAAGAACTGGCTGCACTGCAGGGGATGGGCTGCTGGCGGTGGCAGTGAAGGAGCAGGACTTCTGCGCAGTCATCCCACTCTCAGGGACCTTGAAGGGCAGGTTGGCTGTGGGGAGGCCAGAAGGAGCAGCTGGAGGGAGGGGAGCAGGAACTGCTGACAGAACTGGGCTGTGAGGACTTGGTGGAGAGCAGTGGTGAGCAGAGGAGCCTGCTCTGAAGGGACAGAGGAGGTGGCATCAAAGAGCTCTGCAGTGAGCTGAGAAAAAAGCAGCATTAGCTGGCCCAACTTTATGCCCATGCTTGTGTGTCTGAAAGTGGACAGAGTCTGAGCTCTCTGAGCTTTTTAAGCCTGAGTTATTCCAGCCCAGTGACTCAATTTATTTCTGTCTCTGCTCCTAACATTTCTCTTTCAGGTGGCTGCTGCCTGGTTTTGGGTGGGGCTGTGGGCTGGGGCAACTCATGTTTTCAAGCTCTTATCGGCATCAGTATGATGTTCTGCTTTTCTTTTCTGTCATACGGCAACCCGCTCCCCTCCCCTTCTTCCCCTCCCTCTGCCGGCTCCCAGAGGAGGCGACAGACGGTCCTGTAATTTGGTTCCATTCGCTCGACTGGAGCAACACCTGCCCCCCTCTCTGGGGACAGGAGGGTCTCATCCCAAACCGTGCAAGGAGCCAAAGATGAATCTGAAGCTCACATGCAAATAGAGCCCAGGATAAAACAACACGGCCATTCTGGGCAGGAAAGGCAAAATCCGTCACCAGGGGAAGAGGCAGGAAAAACGAAATCAGCTCTGAAGAAATAAATAAGAAACGTCAGGAGATTGCCTTTTCCTTTTGGGTCGGTTGCTATTGCAGTTATTGATCTGTCCCACCCTGGAGAATAAACTGAGAGTACTGAAAAATAATGGCTAATATCAGAACACATCTATTCACCCTAAAAGAACTGGGTTAATTGGGTTACAGGATGGCTAGATGGATAGATATGTGAATAGATAGATAGAATGTTGATGGTATTTCTTCACAGCTATATAATGGAAAAGGTCCATTTCGTTGTTGAGTTTCATATACCATATCCTCTTCAGCTCCCTACCCCCCCCCTTTATCTCATACACACAAAAATACTCCTTGCTAGAAATACAGGAAATATATCAAATCACATCCAAGACCCTCAGAATGTATCTGCTGTAAGTGTCAGGGGTAATATCCTATCTCACTCACCCACTTTTTAACACAAGCAATAAGATACTACTGTGTGGCTGGGGAGTAGTGTGATCCTGAATGCACAAAGTACCATGTACTTTGCTGGTGAGTGACTGTCTATGGCTAGAAAGTCTTTGTTTGCTATGTGCATATGTAATAGCAGCATAAACACAAGCCCATACTTTGGAATATTTTGTGCTTTAGGTGTTTCAATGTCTTAGAAAAATGTATGATACTCAGATACAGTCCCCCCTTAGCTGTACAGTCCTATGGAAATCAGTATGTTCATTTATAGAAGTTACTTTTGGCTTACTGTCTGTCCTCATTTGCTGGATCAGGATCAGGATCTGTTTCCAGGGTTTAGATGAATGCATTAGATGCCCTAAAAATACCAATGTGAATGTGTATTTTGCCCCATGTCCTTGTGAGTCCATATAGGTCTGAAAATGTGTCTTAATAGGTGTTATCACCTCATGTTAAAGGTGCACTGGATATCCCTTGCACTGGGATATTCTAGATCTATACACTGGAATTACTTCTCTCTGTGAATGCTGGATGTTTCCATGAAATGTTTTATGTATTGGATTGAGTCAGGCCTAAAGTACCTCTATTAGGCTCAGCTAAAGGTCCAGAAGTAGCACTCTGCCTTCTCTGTCGTTGAGTGCACTTTCTTGCATGGTTTGTAGGATGACCTCCTCTTTAGTTGTGAAAGAAAGGTATCTGAATGTAGTTCAAAAAGTAGGAAATATTAATTGTGTCTCTTCCCTGCCAGTTGCTGGATTGGCCACACATGATATAAACTTCCACTGAGCAGTTCCACTCCATTCCTCCTATAGCATTGTCATTCAAGGTCATTCATTCCTTTATTGTTGAGGGAACCATAGACAGAGGCAAAGTAACTTTGATTATATAATTAGTCTTTATTGCTATCTAACCCAGACTTGCAGTGAGGTGGAGTTAAAGTTGTTTACCCATTCTTCATAAATACAGACTTTTGAGCACTTAACCATGCAGCTTTTGACTTATATCGGCCTTGCATCAAGTACATACTACTCAGCTCTTTCCCGAGAATAAAGAAAGGGGTGAGATAGCAAAACAAAACCTACATTCTGTTTTCAATAGTTACCAACTGCTAGATGACAATGAATTTCCTTCTTGGTGCCAGCAGGAAAAAAAGAAGTGGTTGGGATGATGTTATGGTGGTGAGGGATATAAACAAAGTTGTGAGAGTATGGAAGTGAAACAGGGCTTGTAGGGAGAAGTAATTTCTTCCATCATATAAACCTTGGGAAGAAAAGGAGATATCTTCAGGTCAGGTGCCCTGACCCTTCTGCAGGTTAAACTTGAGCCTTGACCCTGTGGATACCGCAAAAGCAAAGTCTTTCCTGCCCTCTGAGTGCAAGCAGGCTCTCTGTTGTTTCAGGGGGTGATAGAAATGTAACAACCCTCAAGATTTTCTTACTTCCAAACCTGAGCTGTTCCCACACATCTCCACGTGTCACACTTCTGTACTCACAACACAGAGGCCTCATTTGCTTCTCACTGAGGCATCTCATGGCTGGGATCTTGAGACCCTGGGCTAGTAACTGCTGCTTGATCCACAACACCTTCACTGCATGGACCTTGCTTGAGCATTATCTCAGCCCATGCCCCTGACACGTATGCAGGACCCCCAGAGGGGGAAGTGAGGCCAGGGGGAGTGGGGGGTTCACACCTACTTATCCCATAACCAGTGTGCTTGAATCAGTGACTGCCAGTGACTGCAGCCACAGTACTTCACAATCAGGCATTGCAGAGCACTCTCTTCCCTAAAACATGCATTCCCCACTGTTGGGAAGGAAATATTATAGTTATCTTTTTATTAACTAAGTTCTTCCAAATGCTAGTAGCACGAAGGGTTGCTGGATATATAATATTGCTCAGGCAATTGCCATCAAACTCAACACAGTGCCAGATATTGAATCTAAGAAACAAGTCTGTCCCAAAGGAAACCAGTTCCAAACTTGGTGAAGTTATTTCAGTCCCAAAAGATGCAGGATTCAAAAACTGTGCATTGAACTACCAAACCAATGTGTGCTCCCTTGGGACATGGCAAGCGTGCCACTTGGTAGAAAGTGGAATTAGCAGCCTCTCTGACAGGATTTCTGCATGGAGCTTTTCAGCTGGTCAAGACCACACTTAATTAAACTGCTGTGCAAAGTGTCAGCCATAAAAATGGGAGGGGGGAGGGTTTTGTCTCTCCAGCAAGTAACAATGGATGATGCAGCCACCAGAGTCAATGGCAGTATTCAAACTATAGGTAAAATTAACCCCTTGTGGAAAACAAGAAAAGGATTTAATAAATGGAGTGGTCTAGAGGTCTCACATTACTCAGGTAATAACCTGTCTGCCATTGAGTCTATGTCTGTTCTGTGTTTCAAATGACAAGGTTTGTCAGTGAAGCCTTATATAAAAGAGTGTGGTTGAGGTTTTCTAAAGTAGGGAAAGGGTTCAAGATTTTTCCGTGGTTTCAGGAGAATTGGACCTGGCCAGAGAGGGATCAAAGATGAATTTAAATAAAAGGAAGAAAATCCAGTGCATTCAGGCAGGATGAAACATGTACATTTGGGTGGCAAAGGGCAAGGTGGCAAAATAGGTGCTTACAAGCATCAGACTGGATTGTACAGACTGAACTTTGAAATGTATGACCAGATGCCAGTCAAGACGTGACTGGGAGAAAGGGACATCAAGGGTCCTGTGTCTCCTCTGCATTTCCGGCAGGGCAGGCAGCTGAGAGCGGCTGGAGCAAGGGAGCTGTGGGGGAAGGACTGCAGCCTGAGACTCCCTAGGAAGACGCAGGTAACCTGTTGAAGCTTTCCCACGCACGACTTGAGAAGCCTCTGCAATCCTAATTCGTAAGGGCACCACATCTCTGTCTTACAGAAAGACCAATGGAAAAAATAATTAGGAAAAAACAGCTTTTATTTGATACTTTTATTTATATGCAAAACAGCTCACCATTCATGAGAGATATGAAAAACGCATCAGATAGAAACCAGATTTATCTATTTTCACTACAAAATATTGCATTATATAAAGCAACAGAGACACACAAAAAAACCCTGAAAAAGACTAAAATCTTTGGATAGCAGATGTGTTTTTTCTTTTTCTCTTTTATCCCTAGAATGCGCTTCTTGTTTTAAGAGATTCACAGCAAAGGACATGAAACATTTTCAGGTTATAGATTTTTTTTTTGGTTGTCACAAAGGAAAGCAGTCCTGGATTTACTTTTCTTTCTTTTTTTTTCTTTTTTTTTTAGGAAAAAAGTCCTTTCCTAAAAATATACCACACACATACACACACACGCTCACTCCCACACACATGCATGTATACACACACGCACATATACACTCACAAAGAAACTACTTCCCTTATAAACGATTTGCAAAGTACTTTTCAGACAGAACTATAGATCAGAATAACAACAAATTTTTTTAAAAAACTCTTCTAGTTAAGTGCTAGTGGTTGTCGATCCCACACAAGAAAAGAAAGAAAAAAGGTCAAGAACAAATGCCTTGATATATATAAAATATACTTATAAACAGGAAGAGAGGGGAGGTTTGTGGTACACAAGTGCAATATAATTGGAGGGAAAAAAATAAATTAAAAAGAAAACAAAATGACCACTGTATTGATCCCAACAAACACTCATAAAGTCAAACATAATATTCCACAGGAGAAAGTGTAAACACCCGACTATAGAAACCAATTGGCACGAAGTATCCAAAGTAAAATTGCCACCACTCTGAAAAATAAATAAATCTTGAAAAAAATAAATTGTCAACTCCTTCTACCATAAATAAAAAATAGTTATTTTTAACTGCACCCATGGGTCACACGTTTAAGGTCACAAGTAGATGTTTTTGGATATATATAAAGGGGCACTTGACAGCCTGAAGAAACAATCCGGTTTTACACTTCTCTTCGAAAAGCGGGCTCTCGGTCGGGTGGGAACCCCCCCCGGGGAGGGAGGGCAGGCAGCGGGGACCCCCCCGCCCCACCGCCCGCCCCGGGGAAGGCGCTGCCCGCCGCGGCCGGACCGGGGGCGGTGGGCGGGGGGTGTCCCGGGGCTCCGGGCGCCCGCCGGGCGCTACACGTCCAGCACGTGGTTGAGATAGGAGATGTAGCAGATGGCGAGGCGCAGGATCTCGATCTTGGAGAGCTTCTTGTCGGGGGGCAGGGTGGGCAGCAGCTTGCGCAGCTCTGCGAAGGCCAGGTTGAAGGCCTCCACGCGGATCCGCTCACGCGTGGCGTGGGCCGAGCGGTACTTGGCCGTGGCGCGGCGCCGCCGCCGCTTCTCCTCCCGGCTCAGCGGCGGCGGGTGCAGCCCCGGCCGGCCCCGACCCGGCCCTCCCGCCGCCACCCCGCCGCCGCCCCGGCCCTCGCCGCCGCCGCCCTCGGCGGGCTCCGGGTCGGACACGCAGCAGCTGAGAGCCTGGGCGTCCGCGCCGCCCAGGGACTCCGGGTCGGAGGGCGCCGAGGAGGGGTGGTCGGAGTCGGCGGCTTGGTCCGGGCTAAGCATCATCTTGGAGGGGGCGGAGGAGCCTTCCCGGGACAGAGAAAGCGGAGAGAGCGAGTCAGGGCACCGGGGATACAGGGGCAAGGCACGGGGCAGAGACACGGGCAGGGACACAAGGGACATGCCGGTCCCCGCGCCTTGCCCTCGGCGCCAGTACCGCCGGAGGGAGAGCCGGGCCGGCAGCGGGAGGGCGGGTCGCGGCTCCTTCAGGGAGTACTAACGGGAGCAATATCGGGGTAAACGATGCCCCCACACTTAACCATCTCCTTTCTAGAGTTTGACGGCAGCTTCAGCGGAATATACTCCCTGCCGTTATTCTAGGCGCTTGCTTGGGTGTAGGAACAGGCCCGGAAAGCAATAAAAGAATATATATTTTTTTCAAACAAGCTAATACCCAGTGGCCCAATATTATGTCGATTTCCCGACCCCTGCGCCCAATTTTAAGAGTCTTTTCTGTCCTGCCAATTTCTGCTTGACCATTTCTCTTTTGGTAATGCTCTATGGGATCCAGGCTACAGACATGATGCTTTTAAATACACAGATCAAGGTTCCCCATACATAACAAGGCCAGTGGGGAGATTTATTTCTCCAGTCCCTACGGGATCTGATGTATCTGCTGTGTTCTCCCCTCCGCTCTTTTCTCTGCACTCCTTCTGTTTTCTTTTTTTTCCTTCCCTGGCGCTAATTGTGCATATCGCGATTTGCCAGTTACCAAACGGGGATGTTGGGAGAGTCTCCGTTTTCTAAGAGTGGGATTCAAAAAGAAAGAAAACCCCACAGCTGCTGCCTAACTTTTCCATCCCTTTAAATTTTCCCTCCTCTCCCCACCCTGCGTGAAAAGAGGGGGGAAGGCTAAATAAATAAATAAATAAATGAGAACGTGCCTTTCAAAAGAAAATTGAATCGTATCTTCTTGCGGCCTCACAGAGCACCATCTGTCATGTAGACAGCAATACAAATCCGAGCGCGTCCGTGGACATGCCGGCATGTAATAAAACAATACATCAGGCAACTAGTGAATAACCTTGAACACAAATGTGTGCGTGTGTGTGTGTGTGTGTGTGTGTTTACGGCTGGGGTGTCGAGTGAGGTGGGGAGCGAGACCGAGGGAGGAGGGAACATCGCGTCCTCCCTTCCTCCGAATTCAGATTGTCAAGTATTTCCACATAAAGTTTCCAGGGAAAGTCCCACTCGGGCCTCAGACACGGTTGGGGAAATAATAATAATAATAATAATAATAATAATAATACGAGCAGGAGGAATTCTTCCCAGGCAAGGTTAGAGCCAAGCCTCCCCCACGGGACGAGAAGCTGGGCACGCGTGGCGGGCCAGCGGAGCTCCAACGGGGGCCTGGGCTCGGCACTCCCCGGGGTGCGCAGGAGGCCAGGACTGGGGAGGGGGAGAGGAGAGCGTTTCCTTCCCTGGGAAAGGGCCGTCTCTTGCCAGGGCCGTCGGAAACGCTTCCTCTTCGATTTTTAATAAGGAACGTTAATCAGGCCCACAAGGCAGGGGTAGGGAAAAAACCCGGCTAGCGCGCAGGTCAGGTATCAACGATCTCGTGGGGCAAAAAGATACATAAGAAAGGTTTAAAATCATCTTTCAACTGGGATTCAAGCGAGGGGGCTCATGCGAAAGCCCACTAGAGAGGGAGGATTTGCAGCGCGGTTGTACGAAAATGGGCAATTAAAGAGGTGCTTCCTGAAGAAAGTTGCTTAGAGGTTTTTCTGCGGTGTGAGTTGAATTTTTCCTTTTGGTTTATTGTTTTTATTATTTATTATCCATACAGTGGGTTTTAGTGAGCTGATCCGGAAAGAGGCTTTTTGTCCCCCTCCCTATTTTTTTTTCTTTTTATTATTACAGTAAACCAATACCCCTTGCTACCTGCAAAAGGGAGATATTGTTAAGGCTGCTTACCTCGGTGGAGTCGTTTGGACAGCCTCTCTCTCCAGGTCCCCTCGCCCCCTCGGCGATTCCTTTACAGTTCAAATGACCCTCCGGGAGCGGAGCATGGAAAAATTAAAAAATCAAAATGAAATCAAATTAATTACGAGCGGAAAAGTGTCCTGCTCGGATGGGGAAAGGTAGATCTCATCCCTCGCCGCGGCCTCCAGCGCTCCAGAGATGAGAGATGTTATCGCCGTGTTTGTTTGCGGAGTATGAATAACAACTTAAGTTACTTACGATGCATCTGGGGAGGAAAAAGCGTTTCCCCCATCAAAGTCCTCCTCCGCCCGCTTATTCGGGGCAGTGGGATGCAGCGCGCCAGCGGCTGCGCCCAGTCGGTTTTACAGGGGAAAAAGTGCCGTCTCCCCCGCTTTTCCTCCTCCTCTTCCCCGGTCGCGATAAATAACAAAAGGGATGCTGCGACAGCACCGGTACTGTCCGGGATTATTCCTCGTCTCCCACCCCCTCGGCCTTTCGTCGCCCGCGGCGGCCGCGCCGCTGCCGGGCCGGGCCGGACGCGGAGCCCGGGGCGCGGAGCCCGGCGCGGCGCTGCCGCTTTGTTCCGCCGCGGCCCGGCGCGCAGGCACGCCGCGGGTCGGGGTAACAATGCGTCGCTCCCTCCTTTCTTCTCTATTCTCTTTCTTTTTTTTTTTTTTTTTTTTTTTTTTTTTGGAGGGTGGTGTAACGTGCGGTTTTGTTAATTCACCGGCCCGGCGGAGAGGGGCAGGAGGAGGGGAAAGACGCCGTCGGAAAATGAATGTTTGGTTTAGTTTTTCTTCTAGTCCTTCAAGAGCTGGCGAGGGGAGGAAAAAAAGGGATAAACGAAACCCCCATCCATCCCTGAGCTTCCTAACTCCTCCTGCATCTTTCGAGTAAGGATAATGGAAAATATGCGAACGCTGAAAAAGAAAAGCAAAACAAAATAAACGAAAATCTCGGCGCGGGTTCGGAGCGGCTGCGAGAGATAACGGCGGTGCAGGGAAAGGTACGCTCACACGCAGAAAAAGAAAGTGCAGTTCCTCCTCCCACCCCTCCCGGAGTGGCAAAGAAGCCAAGGAGGGGTGCGGAAGGTGGCAACGGCGAGACAGAATGACAGAGAGGAGATACGTGCAGATCCACTCCTGGTACCAAAGGGTTTCGCCTAGAGATGGTCGGAAGAGATAAAGGCTCGGAGAAAAGGGGGCGGCATTTTTTCCCTCTTAAATTGGTATTTAATGGGAAAGCCTATTGGACAGAAACCTGGACACGAGTCACTTAATTGGACTTGACATCTGTCACAGTGTGGGAGTTTTCACAGCCCAAATATTTTCAGCAGATCAGATTCTCGCTGAATCTGTGCCACAAATTATAACAGTCGAGAGCAGCCCATGATATAAACCCTAGCCTCTGGATATACAGTCTCTAGACATACTCGCTCCCACTGATGTCGTCTCCCCGCCGACCAAATATCGGATACCCACTGATCTAGAAAAACACCGCTGGCATTTCGCATGTAAGATAATAAATAAGCTTTAAACATCAATTTGCATCATGTACACCAAGCATGTGGAGAATAATCAGACTGTTTTTTAGTTCATTTGTTTTGGTGGTCCCCATGCCCTGTCTCCCACCCACCCCAAATCCTGATCCATGGCAGTCATGGACCTGTCAGAGCCGGGGGGGCAGAAAGGCCTCCCTGGTGTCTTTGCCTTCTGCCCTCCCTGCTCCAGTGCACAGACAATGAGGCGAGGGAGCCAGCCATGAGTCTGTGGCTTTTCTGCTCACAAGAGGCTGGATGGAACCAGGCCCCTTCATACCAGAGCCAGGGGATGCCTGTGACCAAAGTGACTCCTCTTGCTGTCATCTTGCCCCAGTCCCTCCCAGATGGCAGTCCCCTCTCTGCTCTGATCCCCATCACCCTCTCTGCAGATCCCTTCAAATGGGGGCCGTAGCCACTTTCTTGGTGTAATAGTCTTCCTCTGTTGGGATTTTTCTGTGGCAGGAGCTTGTGCTGATAGGCACCCTTTGGAGCCCACATAAAGGAGCAGAAGGAGGGATGAGTAAGACAGAGCAGAACTAGTCTTGCTGCTCACCAGAAGCTCAGTGGGTCATTCCAGGTCCCATCAGCAGGATGGGTGCGGGTGAGGTGGCAGGAAAACACTTGCAGGGATGACTGCAGTTCACCCACATGCAACAGGCTGGGAGATCTCCAAATGAGGAGAGTTTCTGCACTTTTTATGATTTACAGGACTTAATGAGAATGAGTAGCATGCCTGCACAATTTGTCTATTTTTTTGAAAATGGTAGATACCCTAGCAAAGAATACAATCTCCCTGAATGTCACCTGGTCCTCTAGGAAAAGAAATGCCTGAAAGCAGATCCTCATGAACATTTGTTCCAGGGAAATTTAGCAATTTGTCTCCCTTCCCCTTCTCATAACAAGTCTCCAAGGCAGCAGGAGGCTGTCACTTATTTAGATGCTCTGACCACACATACTGGCACTGGTTTCACAGATATCCAGCATGATCCCAGCACTGCTTCTGGACGTGCTTGGCCAAATTATCCTTGGCTGCAATGGGACGTGCCAGGAAGATCCAGATTCAAATCACTGAGGCTGTGACACATCCCCACTAAGCCCAGGTTTCTGGTAACTTTCACAGGTGCTCTTTGGAGATCAGGATCTGAGCAGTTCAAGGTCACTGTGCTCCACACTGCAATGCCCAAGGTCCCATTCCATCAAACGACCATCCCACACTTCAACGAGAAAGCTGTGAAGGAGGCCTTCTCCAGCTCTTACTTGACCATGGCTCAGTGCTGGTGGCTCTGGCTTCCAGCACTCCTTAAGGTGTAAGTCTGAGGTCCCAGCCCACAGAATCTGCAGGTGATGGAATAAGTAGCTGGCTAAGGCTGCTATAGGTAACAGCCAGGAAGATGCTGATTCATATGAGCCAGCCTGCTCTCTGCTACAGATGCTCTCATCATATGGCTTGCTTTTTACTTTTAATTTCCAGGAAAAGACCAAACAGTTGCTTTTCAATGCCCTTCAGCTATGATGGACATTTCTGACACTTCATAAATTCTCCCAGCGGAGAGCTCTCCTGCCTCTCGCCACTCAAACTGGAAGAAGCAGCTGGTTTCAAGAGGTCACCAGAAACAATCAGACATTAAGGGTTAAAAGTGCAATTGATGGAAACTAAAAGTTTCACTTTGACAAAGGAGGGATGATTAAAGCTCTTCCTCCACCTCTTTGTGTCTTTTCCTTAGGAAATAGTTTGCCACAAGTGGAGACCTGCATATTGGGAATCAGTATGGTCCCAAAGAAAGCTGCACAGATGCAAGGCCACCTTGCGATTTGCATCCCCCAATACAGGCATAGCCAGTGCAAGTCTCTGGTTGATCTCTTCACTAAGGAAATACCTCACTGATATCAAGACAAGCTGAGATTCCCAAACTGTATTAAAGATGACCTCAATGGCATGAGTAGCATTGGTTTGGCTTCTCTGTAAAAGGTCAAACTGCAACCTACAAGCTGCACCCGACAAAGAAAAAGTGAATAAGAAAAATGGAGTCCCAGCAGGGGTCTCCAGTTCGTACAGTGGACATCCAGGTGTACTGTATGGCTGTGGCCTTACTGCAGACTGAATCCATGACAATGAGCCTTGAAGCACAGGTGGGCAGCCATCTCATGGAGGAGAAGCTAGGATTATATTTTGCTGTGCTGGAGGACTGTAAAGGGAGCCATGAGCACCTCTTTCTCTTTACTTGGCTTAAGACAATGCTCCCAAGGCTGGAGATATAGGAGAAGTGGGGGTGGTTTCCTGTGGATGGCATTGCAGCTCACCTACTCCTTCCCAGCAACTTCTTAAGTTTAATGAGAATGAAAGGTGTCCAGAGAAAGACTCAATATCAATAAAGACACATGCCACCTTTGTAGGGGTCATCTCATTGAAAAACAAGAAGCAAATCATTCTGTTTGACTTTCAGGGCTTGCTGACAACCTAGTAAAACCTTATGAACCAGACTGCTCACTAGATAAGACCTAGGATAGAATTAATACTAGTTGATTCATTAATGATAGCAAATAGAAGTTGCCCACTTCTATGAGACTTACAGCAAAGTGTCACAGGCCACCAGACAATATCTAACCATAAGTGGTGCTGAATTTGTGACAGAGCATCACAACTCAGAGTTTTTCAGAGGCCAGTGGGATTGGGTTATAGAAAGGCAAGATTCAGAAAAGGATTATCTCCAGGGTGTAGCAGGAAGAGAAAGGACTGAAAACAGTGCTGCCATGTGATTCTATCTTATGGAGAGGAGGTACTTATTTGTGTGGACATCTCATATTCATGTCACATGATGATTTGAAGGTGATGTAATTTGTGAGAATACTCTGGGATGGTGCGTACCCCCTAAAAGTCTAAAAGGTTATAGTACTAACACCCTGAAGTAGCCATTTGTCCCAAGGAGATGTCCTTCTGTCCTGGGAAAGTAGAATAATGAAAGAATCCAGCTGCTTTCTCTACCACTGGCCCAGGTATTAGGAAAGTCATTTTTCACTTGTAGCCCGAGCAAATCTCACAGAGCTGCCATGGGGAGACATCGAACATGAGAATCCACAATGCTGCTTTTATGGTGTTGCTTGTCAGAGCAGAGCTGCACTTCCATTACCTACATGTCCTCTGTCTGTCGCAAGGACAGCTTTCTAGGATGCTCGAGAACATCCATTCTCCTTTATAGCGCACGCCATTCACGTTGCTGGCATATGCTGCCCATTGAAATAAATGGAGCTTGTCACTCTTGGATGTGTTCCTTGGAAATAAACGGTCAAACAAATTAGAACGCTGAGTCATGAAAATCCTTGTCCTTTTGAAAAATCTGTGCTGCATGTAGCTCAGTGCCTCTGCTCATGGTTTCCTTGGACATTTGGGTGATATTTTTGTTTTACACTGGTCATATTTACTTTCTCTGAGGCTGTTTTAATAACATGTCAGGAGCTTTGAGGCTGCTGGCAGGAACGGTCTGCAATTGGGGAAGGTGAAAAAAATAGTTTCCCTTCTGGACCATGAACAAAGGTATCAGGGCCACTAGGTCTGGATGCAAGTACACCCTGGATGAGCATTTGTGGGACAGGCAAGACCCCTCATCTGCCCTCTTGCAAATACAAGTGTGACTTCTCTGGGACTGGCTCCTACATTTAAACCACTAGTCTCCTGTTGAAATATATGGCTTTTAGACAAATTCCTGATTTTTTTTTTGTCTATTAGCAGCTTTTGTTTCATGTTGCTTGGTCTCTGCTTCAGTTCTAGTCTTTTCCTTTGTTTGTTGGACTAGAGAAGCCATTGACATTAAAATTAAGCTCCAGATGGTACTGTAAAGAGCCCAGTATAACCACGAAGATGTTCATGACCCTTCACTGCCATATTGTCTTGACATCTCCAAAGATAGTCCTTGCAACATCAGTTAATACTCACAGCTCTCATGACGGCAGGGTATCTTGAGAAATGGAAGATGATGAGGAGATTTTAGAGGCAGAAAGGACCCCTGTAAGTGTATCTCTGCAGGTTGAAGGCCACAAGACTTCCCCATTCACTTCCTGTGTGAATGAGCATACCTTTTTTCAGAAATAGTATCTATGCTTGGTCTAAAAATTGATGGTGGTGGAGGATTTGTTATGATCCTTGGCAAGTTACTCTACCAACTGTTTCTCCCCACTGTTGAAAACACTGATGGGAAAAATGAGTATGCACATCTTCAGCATCCACCATGGGATTTTGGTACATCTTGGCCCCCTGGATTAAGAGTTCTCTGGTATTACGTTATCAAGTTTAGGTAGGGATTTTGTGAACAGGTGTATGCATGTGTGTTGTACAGCTGATATGCCTGTGTGCACAAGTTATTAGCTTGGACCTTCCGGTCATGCAGAGCATAGCTGTAGCTATTGCTGCTGCTCCTGTCAGGTGTCTGGAAATTTTGGACAAATGGGAAAATTTCACCTGGGCAAACATCTCAGACAGAAAGAGAAGACATGCCTGAGTAAACCCAGACATCTGTTGGTCCTAGGTCAGTATTCACTTGCAGTGGCCACATCAATTCTGCAGCCTTCTTTTTGTTAAACTGGACAGGTTTGAATGCCTTGTCATTATGCAGAACAGACCGAGGCTGCTTTACATTTAAGGTGGTTCTGATCTTGAATAATTTCTCATTTTTCCTGTTCATAGGTCTAGGCCAGAAATGTGATGCTTAGCATGCCAAGCCCTGAATATAGAACAAGAAA